TCACAGACATTACAGACGTTACAGACGTTACAGACGTTACAGACGTTACAGACACTACAGATATTACAGACATTACAGACATTACAGACATTACAGAACGATATTATACGTAATAACTGTTGAATGGGTTGATTAATATAGTTTTTTTTGTTCAAACGGCTCAGCGATAACTCAGTAACTTTTTGGATTACTAAACAACCCTTTGGATTACTCAGTAATTTTTTGGCTAAATTATGTACGTACCCCTTAGATAAAGAATGAATTAATCTGTCAATGATTATTTTAAGACTTTTTGTAAAATTTCATTTTGACTGACCATTTTTATTTTTTTTCAAATCGATGGATTTTCTTTGTTTAAAAAAAGAAATCATCTTCATCCACCCATCATCATAATCATCATCATCATCATCTTTATCTATCATTCATCCATCATTCACTGAAAAGAATGATTTACCCTTTTTTTTTCTTACGTAATTTATCCAAGGATGGAATTTAAGAATGAAATATCCAAGGATGGATTAAAAGAAAGCTTTGTGTGAATTGATTACGCATATAAAGATTAACTTGATTACGCATATAAAGTCTGAATTGATTACGCATATAAAGTCTGAAATTAATTACAAATACAAAAAACTTGAATTGATTACATACAAATTTTCAACTCATGCACTGTGCTGTCTTTCATGTCAAATAACGTCAGGAGAGATTGTCACGTTGAAGATCAAAAGTGATCGAAACTGGTATAACTATTATAATTGTATAATTGTTAATGGATCAACACTTTAGTATAAGCTTAAAACTAGGTTTTTGAGTGATAGTATGTAGAATGACATAAGATCTACTATAGGTAACGGATAACCAGGAATAGGGTGTATTATGTAACTAGAAAGATATTCGATGAATTAAAATAATTTAAATGATTTTTTTTTTTTTTTTGTAATCATTGATCCGATGATAATAAAAAAAATTGGTTTCCGAAAATGACAATAGTACGTTATTTCATACACAGATTACGTCATTATCTTCGGAGCAAAACATTAAATAAAATAATTTTCTAAATATGTAAATTAATTATAAAAAATTTAAATTAAGTACTTATATACATATGTATTTAAAAAAATATACGTATAATTCGAAAAAATTAATAATACTCTTTAGAAAATGAATTTCTATTTTTGGTTCAATTTTACTAGGTATTATATTTCTTCCGTTCTTTTATTATCATAACAAAATTGTTCATTCCCTATCTGTCATCGGTCAGTGTACAGATACGTACATATGTAATAATGACTATTTCACTAAATAATACCGAATAACTCAAAATAACTCCGAATATCGCAAGATTTTTATTATATTTATCCTTTTTTTTACATTAATTATTTATTAATTAAAATTATTCAGATTGGATATTTTTTAATTATAAATTTAAAATTGTTTAACGTTAAGTTATACGGACATTTCACCGGATACTTATTGTTGTTTCACCGATGATCATTGTACCGAAAATCATTTTGTTGGTGATGCGAAAATGACCCAAATCCTCAGCACCACAGCATGTCAGGGTACCCCTAACATAAATGCAAGCCCTTTAAAAAAAATGCACGATTTAACTCTGTCTTAATTTATGTATATATAAAAAGCTTCTAAAAGAAATTACTCTCTATCAATGCACACCCATGCTTCCTTGGTCATATGGTCTTAAGGGAGAGCGTTAAGAGGTTTATTCATAATTAAAAAATAAAAATAAAAAATAAAAAAGCAATGAAAAAGCAATGAAAAAGATTTGGAAATAAACAAAGTAAAATGTATGCTTTAATATACTTTAAAATATTTGTGGTAATTATTTCAAGTAAATCACGTTTATAACAATAACATTCTCGGTTTAAAAATTCATTTTATATCTTTTATGACTTGTAACAATTCTTTTTCATTATTATTATTACAGGCAGACCTCTCTATAGTCACACTTTATATAATCACACCTCTATATAAGCACCTAATTTTGTTAAACAAATTACTATAAAAATATATATTAAAAACCTCTATATAAGCACAACCTCTTTATAAGCACATTTCTAAAAAGTTACTATCATTCCAACTATGTGATTATAGAGAGGGTTGACTGTATTAAATATTTATTTATTTTAAAATTTTAAAATAAAAAGAATAAAAAGAAAAAAAGGTTCTTTGATATGCCTTATCAATTTACTTATAAATTTGTGCTGGTATCTAATTGTACTAGTAATGTTAGTAATACAAATTTTAAAGAAGCGGACATATTTAATCGGAGAATATAATTTCATTTAGTTTATTCTTATAGCTATATTAGCTGTATAAGCCTGTATGGTTCCATGAATTCAAATCTAATCGTGCCCCAAAATATTTAAAAACAGTCATTTCTTTTCATTTTTGTCCTTTTTCAAGGGTTTTTGTATTACTTACGTTAGAAAACCGACTTCTGAGCGCATTTTTGTCCAACCATAATCACAATCAAAAACCAGGAATAACCAATGCAAAGAGTGCCGAATTACGAACAAACGGTTTGGCGTAGATATGTAAGCCTTGATGATTTCATGAATTTAAATACAATCGTGCCCCAAACCATTTAAATTCAGCTATTTTTTTCATTTTTGTCCTTTTTCAAGGGTTTTTGTATTACTAACGTTAGAAACCCGACTTTTGGGCGCATTTTTGTCCTTTTTCAAGGGTTTTTGTTACTAACATTAGAAACCCGACTTTTGGGCACATTTTTGTCCAACGATAATCACGAACAACGGTGTTGGCGTAAATATGTGTACAAATTTGATATCTTTAGCGAATGAGAAATTGTTTCTTGTCAATGATAACTGAAAAATCATGCCACTTTTTTTTCTCAAATAATGTAGTTATCCGTTATAGGTCGTACTTCTGCGCGCATATAAATTTAACGAATAGTAATGAATATATTAAAAATTTTTTTACAAATTAAGAAATGAATATGATATTTCACGCGACATTGTTTTTTTTTACAAAGTTTAAAAATGTACCACCAAATAATCCAAATAATCATGTGACAACATTACGTACCGAAAAACAATTTTTTGGAAACGTAAATGTGTTACAAGGTTGTACTTCGGATGATCATATGATAATCCCGGAGACTATTTGATTTCGTTAAGAATGAGGAACTACATTTACTCAAGTTCTTTAAATAATTATTTGTATTTGTCGTAAAGAAATTTTTTTAGTTCTTTATATATTATTTAACATTATTATAACAAACAATTATAGTAACTCTTTTAAATAACTAACTGACGATTTGAAAGAAAAACGAGTTCGTAACAATTATATATTTTGAAATTTTGAATTCTTTATTCGTATCTAGAGTCTACCATATATAAAAAAAGTTATGAAATAAATAAATAAATAAAATTAAGTTCTACGTAATAATTTTTATAATAATTTTTATACGTAATAGTTTTATAAAAACAAAAAAGGTTCGATGACAACATATCCGCTAAAAGATTCATTATATAAAAGAATAAGTTATTTACTGATTGAAAAGTGACATACATATTTCCAAACTTACAAGAACATCGATACGAAGTGAATAAAGAATAATATAAGATATCTCAAGAAAACATTGATCCAATTTTTATGGGTACACGCAAAAAAGAAAAGACAACTTAAAAGTTATAAACTTTTAAGTTATTCAACAATTAAAGTGTACGTATTATAGTATTATCCGGCAGCTTACTACGTATGATTTATCTGCCCAATAATTTTATTATTGGGTAGAAAATCATAATAAGCCGCCGGATAAACTCGTTATTAGGCATGCTAATATACTGCCTTATAACTTAATTATTTGGTCAAGGATTTTAAGGTCAGACTAAAAAATTGAATTCCTTCGGAATTCAATTTTTTAGTCTGATTTTATTATCGGTATAAGTATTATAGCATTCATGAATCTATTAAAAATTTTTGAATTCCATTTCGTTTCTGTTTCGTTTTCGTTCTCTATCATTTATCATTGGAAAAATCAGCCAAAAAAGATTTAATATTATTTTTTTAAAAAAAATATTTTTCCAAAAGCTTTATTGAAATCAATTTTTTCAATTTTTTTTTTTTAAAAAAAAATTGCATTTTCAATTCTTTTTACAAGTTTTTTCGAAAAAAAAACGATAATTAAATGTTAATAAAAAAAAAAAAGGAAATAATTATAATCAAAAAAGTAAAAAAAAAAACAAATATATATAAAATAGGAAAAAAAAAAGAAACAAATTATAAAGGTAGACGAAGAAAGAAAAGAAGAGATAACCGATTTTTTTAAAAAAAAATTTATAGTAATAATTGTAATAGAAATATAGTAGTAGTGGTAGTAATAATAGTAGCAAAGACTATTTTTTTTTTTTTTTTTTTTTTTTTTTTTTATCCCGGATCGTTATTCGTATATTTTTATAAACCTTTGATATAATTCATATTTAAAGTTCTAAAAGTATCTTAATATATAATATAATTTATAAATTTTTTTTGTTTTTTTTGTTTTTTTTTAAGAGAAGTAAGAGTCAATAAAAAAAAATTGCATATGTGAAAAGGCATAAAATATTTTTTTTCCGACCATAATAAAAGCTTAAATTTTTGAGAATTTCAAAGCATAATTTGAAAGTTTCGGTTATCATCTGAAATAGAATATAGTAGCCCGCACCATATTCTAAAATTAGATAGAGCGTTGGGTATTATATAGAGCGTTGGGGTATTATATTAAGAATAAGTATAATAGGATAGTAGTAAAGTATATTGTGTAAAGTAGTAAATTTTTTAATAATTTTTCGTCGTGATCGCAATAAAATACTAATAAGTATAAATTGGGATTCACGATAAAATTGTGTCAAAAAAAGAAAAAAAAGATAAAGATAAAAATTTGATAGTGCGTTTGTCAATGATGATGATGATGGTGGATGAATTTGATGAATGAGTAAGAGTATATCTCCTTGGAAATTTAAGAAAATTTAAGAAATTTAACGACTCAATGCTTCAGAATTCAACACATTAGTCAAAGTAACACCGCGTCTTCTCTGAATGAGATCGTCAAATGCTTCCATTTTTTCTTGATATTCTTTTCTTTTTGCAGCTAATAACTTTTGCCTTCCATTTTCATGAACGTTGGAAAAAGAGTAACGTCTATGAACTGAACCTGGTCTTTCATAGTGAAAAGGTTCGTTTGAATTGTTTGAATTGGTTGAACTTTTTGCAGAATTGAGAGAAGGACGTTGTGGATATGAACCATGGTTGGATAGATCCAAAGCAACAAAAGAAGGAGCAAACTCATTCTCATGAGGTGAAACTGTCGATGAGTTTTTCTTATTTCCACTTGGATGGAAAATTTTGTTTAAAAATTTTTTGGTGGACTTTTGTTTCTGTTCCATTTTTTTTCTTGTTCTTGTGTTGTGTGTTGAGTGTGTGTCGTTTCGTTTACGTAATAATGCGCAAAAAAAAAAAAAAAAAAAATGTCAAAGTTGGAGTTATATTTGATTTAAGACGTCTCTTGAATTTATCGGATTATGATTTAAAGATGATGAATCGTTTTGGTCGTAAGGGTTTGATTTAATTTGTTCGTTACAAAAAAAAAAGATTGATAAAAGACCAAAAGGTAAGTCTTAATGCTAGTAGCCAAAAGCTGAGGAAAAAATAATCGAGAGAATGATGGTTGTGAGGAGAGGAGAATGTGGTGATTAAATAGTTTTTCAGAAGTCGAATATTTAAAAGTTTTTAGCTACAGGCTTCTTGGAATGTGTGGGATGAACGTAATTTATAAAAAAAAAATTTTTTTCTATTTTATAAAATTATAATATAATATATACAATTATGTATCACCTTTATTGTAATTATATATATGTATATATGTAAATATTATATATATTTATTTATTTTATATATAATATATATATATATTATGTATATATTATATAATTTATACTAGTCTATATAAATAAAAAAAATTTTTTTTTTATATTGTGATATATGTAAATATTTAGTACGTGCTTTATATATAGTATACTATACATATTATATTTACTTATTAGTATGAATAATATAATAGGGTATGTATGAATGATACATAGTACGTATCCCTTTTTTTTTCATATCGAAATTACATGACAAAAAGAAAATAGAACATAGAACATATGACTACAAGAAAACAAACAATATAGATAGAGGATTTTATATTGTAAGTTCGTTTATTAGTATTCATGGGTTTCATTAGTTCCGTCAGTTTTATTAGTTTTATTGGTTTCATTAGTTCTCATTAGTTCTTGTTAGTTTCATTAATTTCGTCAGCTGAGAGTAATAATCTCTATCAGTTATACGTATTATAGTTATAGATATATAGTCTTATATAGATATATAGTCTTATATAGATATATAGTCTTATATAGATATATAGTCTTATATGGTTATGTAGTCTTATACGTATAGTTAATACGTGGTGATAGCATTTATAGCATATTAACGATTAAGCGTTTGATCATCTTAACATTCGATCTTAAATCCTAATCATTAAATACACGTGTGGAAATAACGCATATACTTTCTTTTGTACCAAAATACTGGGGTGTGTAAATATCAATAATTAACGATTTATTATAATTATAATTATTACGGTATTTTACTATATATTATTATTTTCATTGTGAAAAGCGCATTCAGTTCCAAAAAAAAAGTTGGTAAGTTATTGTATATCGCTAAAACATGAATTCTATACAGATGCAAAAATGTCTATCTTGGTTTACATATACAATTATACAAGTACAAAAATGTTTATACTACATTCTTTAAATTTACATAATTTATTTAAATTTACGCAATTTTACCCAAATTTACCCAGACATTTTTTTTTTTTTTTTTGTAGTTTTTTTTTCCTATCGGAATGTGCAGTTTCTAGAATTTTTTTGCCTTTATTTTCTTCAATGAAAAATTTTTATAGATTAGGAAAAATTTTTTTTTTTATTCAATATAAATAAAAAACGCCAACTAATAATAATAATAAAAATCTTTTTATTGGTTAAATTACTAAACAATAGATTTTGTCTTGTTACATTTAAATGAATAGTATTTCTATTATGGTTAAGAAAAACTTGCGTCTGGTTGGTCATTTGGAATATTACAATTAACCATTTGAGGTTTTTTTTTAATACCCAACACAAAGACCCGACTATTTGGAAGTGTATCACATTTTGGCATTATTAACTATTAATAAGATACTTTGCCATCGTTATGGTTGTTATATACTCATGGTTATAAGTACTTCTATTAATGCCTTATAATCGGCATGCTCTACGCAGAAATCAAGGTGCGGCATAATACGTTTTACAATGATATCATATACAGGTCATATACAGGATATATACAGGGCACATATAGGGCATATACGGGACTACTATTATATCCGATTTTATATAATGCAGGACTGTCTATATTTGTAGGATCCCTTTATATTAAATATCCGATCAAAAAAATATATAAAAACTAATAAATTTAAGATATCAAAGATGAATGAGTGTTACATGTAGTGTGCAAAGCCATTGTACCCTTACCTTTATACAAGGTTCTTAACTATATTAAAAAAAATATATAGGATATACCATAATTTTTTTTTTCTTATCAATTACCTGATAACGATACGTATTTATTAAGCGGGGTACATAGTAACGCCACATTCCCAGTTTAATTATCAAATCTCGTGCTAAATAAAAAAACCCCTATGGTTAGGTTTTTTTTTTTTTTTACCCCACACAAGGTTTAAACTAACGAAACATTAATATGTTAATATTAGAAATTGAACTATAATATATAGTTTATATATTACTGTATTCCAATGTTAGTAATAATTGATATTAAGTAACAAGTAATGTTAGTACGTAGTCTATTTTAGTAGTTGTGTTAGCGGTTTATATTACCATACCAATAACCAAGTTTAGTAAAAACATAAGCTCAACTTGTATGATACCTTTTTTTTCATTAGTTCACGTAAACGCCAAATAAATAATATATGCGGGCTTAGATTGTTAATGCTTTGTCATTGAGAAAATTAAAATAATATAAAATGGTAATATAATAATGTCATTACAAGTCTATAAACAAATTGTTAACAATATAAGAAATAAATACAAGAATAAATATAAAGATACTGTAAATATAATGATAAGAGTAAATATAAAGGTAATAAAATAGGCAATATTTATTAATTTCTAGAACGCGTGGCCTATTTATTATATTTATACAATTGGGTCAGTTATTGAATGTATCACTTAAATGTGAGCACAAAAATATAAGTGTACAAATGATTGGTGTTTGTTCTATTTTCCTCGGTTATTTCGGTTATTACAATTATTTCGGTTATGAGTTACGTCATATAGTTTTTATAATTTGTATAATTGATTTACTTAATTTATTTTTAACCTTTAGAATCTTAGATTCAGGAGATAATATATATATGCGCTTATTTCACAGGTTTGTATTAATTTATGTTTACTATCTTTTTTTATTATTTTTTATTTCTTTAAGGATGTAAATTATTGTTCAGTACATGACACATTACGCATGCAAGGAATAACATTTATTATAAAGCAAATCATTAACATTAATTCGCATTTATCTTGTAGGATAATCAACGAGCCAGACAATTATGATTCAATGCGATTATGCTTACCCAGATGTTGACTAAAAAAACAAAACAGTGTATGCTAGGTTATATGCTAAGTTATAAACACTATAAACACATGTTTAATGAATCAACAAATAAAAAAAAAAAAAATAGTAATAGACAGAAAGGCTATCCTCAAATAAGAATTAACCTATAAGAAGCCATGCGTTAAACACGGATTGTTCTTTGGTTATTAATAGAATTTATCTTATAATTATCCTACTCATACCCATATTGTTTATTGTATTCCGTCATTGTTTATCATTATTTAAAGTTTTAGTTACATAACAGTTCGTACTATACTATAGTAATATGATTCGAATTTACATCATATTTGATACACAAAAATTACAGGGATACGTAGGAATTATCCATCAATTACTATTTTTAATCAAAAAAGGAGATATGAGTTTCATGTTATGTCGTCCGTCCATTTTTTCTTAAAAAAATACTAAAAAGGAATTTCAGGAACCTAGCCGTTGACGTTATTTAGTAAAGTCTCAAGTCAATTGCTAATTGCTAAACGCGTGTATTATTGAAATCTATATGCAAATTATATCATAGTTATCGTAATTAAAATCTTACGCGTAAATAATTTTGCCGATCGTAGATCTCAATTTTGAATCATTCCCTATTTGTCGAATTTAAGACTTTCTACCATTTGTCGCGTTATCTTTTAGTTATAGAATACCTTCCTTTTTTAACAATATGCTGTGTTCTGGACTTTCGTTAAATGTTATCATACATATGTTAAATATTATTGTACATATTTTATTATTAATTTGGTTTCAAAAAAAAGAAAACTATCAGTGCTACATTTATTCTTGTAAATGTGCAGAACTCCTTAACAAGTACAATTGATATAAATCCCAAGCTTTTCATTTTATAAATAAAATATAGCCGGCCTAATATTTGCACGTGTGATGCTTGAAATAAAACCCTGTCAACTATACTTTCTATTTTAATTAATCATTATAGAATGACTCCAGTTTACATTTTAAACTATAATGATACAGATGCTGCGTGCATTTTTTTTTATCCTTTGTGCAACGCTTTCCTTCTTTAGGAAAATTTTAACCTTTCTTGTTTTGTCATTTGTGTCGTATCGATATATAACAATGTTTTTTTTATCTTACTCTCGTACTACTAATTAATTCGGCATTGCAACACATTAATTAACCTTTTAATTGGTTCTTTTTTTTACTTAGCCAACAAAAAAATAAATTATGGACACAGCTTCGGTCATCATTCTTCGGTCCATTGTTACATATAACCATACACTTTGTTATTTTCTTTAATGTTTTGTTAATGTTTTGCTAATGTTTTGTTAATGTTTTGTTAATTCTCACCTCACAGACGCGGGTTCAAAGATGGTACAGTTATGCCACGCCATTTCTTCAATAATGGACTTCATTTATATATATTTGTAGACAAAAGAACTTTTGGATTGTTGAATTTACATTAACCGGAGTTCGGGAAGATACAAAGATGGTTATTATGAAAGAAGCAAGGAAAGATCTGTTGATTATTTGTTTATTTGGTTGGAGTGTTTCATCTTTTTAATATATAAATAAATATGTTGAATGATGAAATCCTTAATAGAAAAATCTCTTATATCTGCTTCTTTTACCTTAAAAAAAAAAAATATAAACAAACATTTATACCAAACAATTTTATTACTCTTATGGGTTGACTATGAGTAATTAGCCGCGCGTTAGATAC